AATCAATCAGCAAAATCAACTACAACAAATGAATAGATTCATCAAACATGAAATGAAAATGATTAAAACAACGCAATGGCAAAAGTTTTGTTTAGCACTCGAACCAAAAAATACTTATAAATTCTGGTACTGTATTCCACGGCATTTGGAGATTTCCAAAGATGTCTGCTTTGGAACATATGCTATGGACATCTTTGGAAATCTCGGAGAAAGACACGCGCCTGGGAAAAGCGAGCCCTGTCCGAACAATGATAGATGGAAAGTTGAGACTTGCATAATTTTGTAGAGTAACGTCTAGACTACCTACGCAAGCAAAAAAATTACTAACTTTGTATGCTGGTTTTTTAAGAACGGGACTGGTTTTCAAAAGATCCTCTGGAAAATCGGACTTCCAGAAAAGTTTGAAACAAGTTTCTGTTTACAAAAACATGTCTTAGGATCTTAGCAAAACGATGGTCAAAGCTGCGGGTCGCTATCTATCAGTATAATTGAGTTATTCGAAAAGCAATCGTACACCTGAAATTTTGGGACAGATAATAGATGATTGACAAACAAAAGAAGAAAATCTCTACGATGGTGACATTGCTGGAGAATAGATGTCACTTCTAGCAAACTCCATTTCACCTTTATCAACATAACATCACATGCAGCAATAAATATTTCTTCATTTTTCAGTTCTTATCTGTCGATAACAACCATACGAGTAACAAGAGTGTTCTCAAACAGAACCGTATGACGAAAAAATTGACATGAAAATGATGGTGTAGTTTTAAGATAGATATGTATATATCAGTAGTTATATAAATACTTGTATCTCTGCTTACTATCATTCAATAAAGTGAATGAAGAAATAACTGTCAAAAACTTTATTATGTCAAAGGAAGATTGTTGCCGCAAAACTCGACAAGGATACGTCTCCTTTATTCTAGCTATGCTGTGCATTTTAGATTTTTCGTCTTAGTTTAGAAAGTTTCAAATTTATGGAAAATTCAAAGCAAACATTGTTAACAGATATGTATGCTTCAAACTGTACAACAACAACAACGGCTGTAACCATACGTAGTTTAGAAAGTTTTGTTCTTGTTTGGCTTGATCGCAATATGGATAAAACCGACGATAATTTGAAATCTAAACGTCAGTTACGCCGTATCGTAAATTGTTTAAAAACATTCGATAATGCAGATCGATGTATCAATTATATTTTGGATATCAAAGACGAACAAATATTTTTAATTGTTTCCGGATCATTAGCTGAACAAATCGTTCCTCTTATTGAACAGGTGCCTCAACTCCAATGAATTTATCTTTTCTGTTCGAATAAAGCTAAATATGACCTATGTATGAAACAACATAAAAAAATACGTGGTATTTTTGTTGATGCAAATTCGATTTGTGTAGAATTAAAAAAAAACACTCAACAATGCTCGTATGATATGATTACAATGAACATTCTTGATTCATCTACTGTAGTAACAAATAATAATGAAGAATTGAACAAACAAGAAGCATCCTTTATGTATTCCCAATTAATTAAAGATATTTTAATTGGTATGGAGCATACAGATGAAGCTAAACGAGAAATGATTCAATTTTGTCGACAACAATACGAAGAGAATGATGGCGAACTTCGATGTATTAATGAGTTTGAAAGGGACTATCGTCCTAGTAAAGCTATTTGGTGGTACACACGTGAATCGTTTCTTTATCGAATACTCAATAAAGCTCTTCGAATACAAGACATTGATGTTCTTTATAAACTGAGATTTTTTATCGCTGATTTACACAAACAATTACATGCGGGTGTTTCCATGGGGTCCGTATCACGATATACACAACATTGTTCGCATAAGCTGGAACCCTTTTCAAATGAATGACCCGTCTCGAAATCTCGAGATTTGGCGCTCTATGATGCCGATATTTTCAAACTTTTTTAACTCGATTTACGCTAATCCCACGTATGGGTCATTCATTTGAAAAGGGTTCCAGCTTATGCGAAC